ATAGATAGAGATAGATAGAGATAGATAGATAGATAGATAGAGAGAGAGAGAGAGAGAGAGAGAGAGAGAGAGAGAGAGAGAGAGAGAGAGAGAGAGAGAGAGATGTCGTCGTTGGGAATGTTCCGGGGACGTGCGAGCGGCATCGCCGCGATCATGTTGGAGGCCAATAGCGGGACCACGACGCGGGTGTTGCCGTCAACAGTTGCAAGTCGATGCTCGTTCGACTTCTGTTCGTCTTCCTCCTCCTCTTCTTCTTCACCTCCTCCTCCTCCTCCTCCCCCTCCTTCTTCTTTTCGATCGATGGTGTCGAGTTCTCGCTGTTGCGATGGCGATGCTGACGTGTCATCATCACGTTTTCTATCTGTTTCGTTGATGGAGACTTCTCTCTCTCCTCTGATTGACTCCGCCAATCATGATCGGTATTGCTATTATCGGGATCCTTTCAACAAGCTTGCAGCTATGGCGGAACCGTCTTCTACCTTGTACAGAAGCGTACTACGTGGAGGTTTGACGATATCGTCGACTTCGTCGGGGAACAGCCTCAGCTCAACAATCACTAGGAAGATGATTTCCTCCTTCCCCCCTCATCTTGCCGCCGCCATGGCTCAAGGCCAACTTGGCTATGGCAGCCGACATATAGTTGATGCTGCTGAGAGGGAGAGGGAGAGGGAGAGGGAGAGGAGGGAGAGGGAGAGGGAGAGGGAGAGGAGGGAGAGGGAGAGGGAGGGCGTCTACCTCACGGCCTCTGATACCGAAGATCGGTCGTTTTTCGGACAGCAGCCTTTCCTAATTAGGAAATGGAAACCGCAATACCAAGGTCGTACGTCCTCCGCGTCGGGATCTGCTCAGAACTTCCGTGAGGGTCGTTGCCGGGTTACCCCGACGCACGTGCCACGTGATGGATTGCTGTCCACCCTTTTTGGCGGGAATGTGTCCGCCACCCCTGCCGCTGATGCTTTGAAAAGCACCCTTATTACCAGTAATCGATCTCCCGGGGGCCTCCACGTGGCACTACCCAGTAATCATCCCGCCCGCCACGCGGTAGCAATGGTGGACACATTCCCGCCAAAATCCATGGACACCGATCCGCCACGTGGCACCTACGTCGGGGTAGCCCGGCGATCCGCCCCCGGTAATCATCCCGATGGCTATGCGGTGGCAGTAGTGGTGGACACATTCCCGCCAAAAAGCGTGGACAGCAATCCGCCACGTGGCACCCGCGTCGGGATAGCCCGGCGACGATCCCCCCCCGGTAATCATCCCGGTCGCCAAGTGGCAATCAATCGAAGACTGTTTGGCAGCAATAGCGACAAACATAATGATAATGATGACGTGGCCGATCAGGATGGCGACACGTGTTGCAATGATAGAGCCTCGATTTCCGCTAACGAGTTCCACGTGTTGTCCGAAGACATTCTTCATCATCTTCACGAGAGAATCGAGGCCTGCTGTGAGGATTTGGATGTGGATGGGTTTGACGCGGAGTATGCTCAAGGGGTTTTAACCTTATCCTTGGGAAGCATGGGTACGTATGTTCTTAACAAGCAAGCTCCCAACCGTCAGATCTGGCTGTCTTCTCCGATCAGTGGACCGTCGAGATTCGATTACACGAAAGAAACGGGCACGTGGGTTTCGGCTAGAACGGGTGCAGAGTTGCCGTCATTGCTAAAGGAAGAGTTATCCCAGCTTCTTGGTGAGAAAGTCAGTTTCAAATAAAAAATAAAAATAAAAAATATATGCTCGAGAGAGAAAACCACTTGGTTGGGAGAGGAAGTATGCATTCTCTCCCCTGGATTTAGCCCTGTTTTTTTTTGTTTTTTTTTTGGTCTCCCTTCTCCCTAACCCCCTTCTTCTTCTGTTTGCCTTGCTACTACTCTTTCTTTTTTTTTGCTCTCCCTTCTCCCTAACCCTCTAGGGTTAAGTCGATCCTTGCAATAGTGGTAGTCGTCGTCTTCTTCCTCTTCCTCCTCCTCCTCCTCCTCCTCCTCCTCCTCCTCTTCTTCCTCTTCCTCCTCCTCCTCCTCCTTCTCCTCCTCCTCCTTGCAGGTGGCAGGTGGTGGATCGGTGTTTTGAGATGCCCGTTCTCGACCTCGTCTCTCTCTCTCTCTCTCTCTCTCTCTGTCTCTCTCTCTCTCTCTCTCTCCTCTGCTGTCGGCAAGAAACTGCCTTCCCTGCAACTAACAAGCTGCTCTCTCTCTCTCTTTGTGTCCTCTGCTGTTAGCAAGAAACTGCCCTCCCTGCCACTGACAAGTTGCTCTCTCTCTCTCTCTCTCTCTCTCTCTCTCTCTCTCTCTCTCCTTCCTTTTCTTCCTGTGCCGAGTCTCCTCTCTCGTCTCCTTTTTCTGCGTCTTTTTTTTTTTTTGGAGGGGGGGCGTTCGTTGCTGCTTCTTTCACCATTGTTCTCTCCCCCCTCCTTCCTTGTCTGTCCTCTGTCATCATCTTCCTGCTCTCGTTTATTAGATCGGACGGCTAGACTCGTCAGGAGAGGTTTTTTTTTTTTTTTT